CATAATAGTAGAACAAAATCTGAGATCAAAATCTGAGTGATTTGTTTCCCCAGTAATTTATTTTAGCTAGTAATTCTGGTGCCGACCAGCGGGGATGATGACGTTTAACAATCTAGTCAACTTACAAAACACACATTTTGTTTCTATTTCTGTGTATCCTGTTGTTTACTCTCCTGCTCTTCTGTTTGTTCAGTTTCTGTTGGAGGTCGCGAGGCAGAAAAATCAGACTCCTCTCCCACTGATCAAACCGTACACTGGACCTCGACTTCCTCCAGACCGCTACTGTCTGACTGCCCCGAACTACAGACTCAAAACTGTGCAGAAGAAGGTAAAATGTACTCCCAAGTTAAACTTCCATCACTTATATTCTGCTGGTTTCCGCTGTTCATTTTAGTCTAACACAAATCTATGGTGTGAATGTGTTCGTCCCTGCAGGTGATGTCCTCTGCTGGAAGGATAACTGTGCCTCGTCTCAGCGTCGGCGCCGTCTCCAGCAGGCCAAGTACGCCAACCCTCGGTGAGGCTGTGGCGGGCGCTACAGACACACAAACACTTTCAGTCTATGTGAAATCTCAGAACAAGAACTTCTGTTTACTGCAAGCAGCAACCTCAGGTGCTGAAAAAGGAAGCCATTGCAGAAGTGCAAAAAAAAACTTGAGTTGCTCGAGTGTCTTCTTGAGGCTGGCTCCAGTTGACCTGAAAGTCAAATACAGACCCACAAGCATTTCTGTTTTTACATTTCCAGCCTGGTACAGAATGCAGGGCAGCTACAGCGCCGATGTGTCTTTCTGTTCCAACTTTAAAAGCAACTCCAGGCTCAAATTTGTAGTTTAATACAGGAATTCTGGGAAATGTAGGCACTAGAAGCAGACCACATTAAACTTTGATGCCGTACTCATACTAGATTAATTTTTATTTGAATAATTTACAACTACCTTTTTCTCATTTCAAAGGTTGAAGGGGCTCTAAAATCTGGCTCTGTGCTTTCATCCCAGTTAAACCAGTCTATGTGATGTCTGACCGGTTTGTCTTCCTCACAGGGACTCCATCTGTTCAGTCCGTCACCTCTAAAGTCGGAACTCCGGTGTCTCTGACGGGTCAGAGGTTCACGGTTCAGATCCCACCACCCTCCCAGACGGCCACCGCAAAAATCAGTAAGTTCTTTTCTTTTCTTTATTTTTAATACCAGTTTAATGCTGGCGTGCAAACACAGACAGGAGCAGGACAAATGAAACATGATATGTTTGACCTCTGGTGTGTTTATAACTTCAGAGGGCTTGAAGCAGTTTTCACGTGCACTCCTTCAAATGTCTTGAACATTTCCAACAGGCTTCTCCTGAGTGGCTCTTTCACACATGTCCCTCACAGCGCAAGACTTTCACTCTCAGACATTTCAAGTATTTCGAAAAATCAACCTTTCCCGCATGTCATTCCCCACTCTCTCTCTCTCTCTCTCTCTCTCCCTGATTTCCAACAGTAGCCATCGTCCTATCTCTACAATAAAGGCCCAAAAAAGCCCAAAACTTAAGTCTATGACGCGAACTGTCATGCTTCTTGCGGCCGGCGAGCACGGTCCCTGCAAACGTCGAGTCGTTTCATACTGATTGCGGTCAGAGCGGTCTGATTGCTCGCACTGTTTGCTAGCCATAGGAAAAGATGTTGAGAGAAATGTGTGCTAGCTTGAAGGTAACTTCATCCAGCTTTCTGGTTCATTATTATCTCAGGCAGCATTAAAGTCAAGTCAACACATGTGATAAGAGAGGGGAATATAAACTTAATGAAAACCAGCAGGAACAAAACATCAGGTTAATATATTGATAATGTTACATATTTTATGATAGAAGAGAAAATATTGTCATACTTGATGACTGCATTATGTTCTCTCAGACATAGTGACTGCCCTTCACATCAGCCCTTAGTAGAACATGGTAAGTCCTGTTCTGCAAATTCATCCCATTTATAAAAAGGGACTCAAGGTTGGGAGAATGGGTTTCTTCATGTTTCACTGAAGCTTTATCAAAAAGTTAAAACAGAACATAGATATCGACAAGCAATTGTGTTTTTCTTATTGTTTGCACTGCTTCTTAAGTCTGAATACTAAAATCTTCTGTAAATTCACATTTTAAAGCTGATATTTAAAAAAAAAAAAAATCTTCCCAGGGGGAGCAAGACCCCGGACCCCCTTAGGGGATTTGGATCCATGTCACCTTTTTCATCCCTGATGAGTTTGCACCCCTGATTATTGATCATTAAATTAACAGATTGTGTTGTTTTAAAACACTTTGAACCCTCTCACCTGTAAGACATTCCTCTGGGTTTAACAACAAAACTCCTTGTCCCGACAGCGACGCCGTCGACGCCAGCCGTCTCCAACGTCCTCATCAACCCGTCTCTGATCGGCTCCAAGAACATCCTCATCACCACCAACATGGTGTCACAGAACTCTGGAGGAGAGTCGCTGAAGAGGAAGCACGAAGACGACGACGACTACGATGCTTTATGACGACATGACTCCACACAGCTTTCATTTTTGATAATCCAAAAAACAGATCGATCCCTGCTTCTGTTTTCAGCACAAACTGATCCTGGTCATGTTTGTTTAGTCTTCTAGAACATTTTACAAGAGAGAAGAACCGAAAGAAAGAAAAGTGTTATCCTTTTCCCACTGGGAGCAGACCAGTACAACCAGTCTACTGCAAGTCTCAGACCGACCCACATTGCTCTGATGTTTCACTGATTTCAAATAAACTACATCAAAATAAAACCTGAGTCTTTTCTGTTCCTGTAAGAGCTGCTCTTAGATTACACATTTTATTTAAGAAACCATCACATGAGAGGGAGAGACTGAAGATCAGCAGTGCTGATAACATCCTGACCTCTGTTAGATTTTATCCAGTACAACAGTTACACAAGTTGCAAATAGTAAAAAGTGAAAAACCAACAACCGATTATTTTAGTACTATTATATTTGATCGTATGATACTAGTAAAATGGTATTGATACCTGTTTAAATTCCACAGTTAAAGCAGGAGTCATGGACACCTAATATTGGGTCTTTTCTTGTTTTTTTAATTATTAAAAATAGCAAAAATAAAAACTCTAAATCCCACAAAAACATTGGCAACAATTTGGAGCTGAAACAAAGGTAGCAGCACAGTTCCATCTATTCATAGCTGAATTGTTGCCAATGTTTTTGTGCAATTTAGACCGTGTGTAGGAGTTTGCCTGCAACTTGTGATGGTTCATCCCTCCTGTCGGCCTTTTTTCTGAACATTTTTTTTTTTTTTAAATCTAATCGGACTGGATTACCTGACACTGGCTGGAGAAAAACCTTCTTATCTGGATCATACTTTTTCAGATTAAACCATTTTTAAAAAAAATTAAATTAAAATATTAAATAAATTGAGCCCTGGTGTTGTTAATACATCCGTGTGTTTGACATGTCCAAATGAAAACATGGAAAACCAAGTTTTGAAAAAAAAAAAAAAATCTAGGAAGGCATTTCCAAATCTCAGTCTCAATGATGTTTTATAGTTCATATACTGATTTGGGTGATATTAGCTTTGAAAAATATCTGAATGGGGAATATGACTGAAATGTTGAATATGATCTTAAAACAACCAACAAACTCAAAGTCATCAAATCTCTCTGCAACCACATTGTGAAGTTCGCGGACGACACAACAGTGGTTGGTCTCATCCCCAACAACGATGAGACGCACTACAGGATGGAGGTCAGCCAACTGGCCACGTGGTGCAGAGACAACAACCTCTTCCTGAACGTCGACGAGACCAAGGAGGTTGTTGTCGACTTCCGGAGAGTCCCCACTCCTAAACCCCCACTGACCATCGACGGTGCTGCTGTGGAGAGTGAGCAGCACCAAGCTCCTGGGGGTTCACATCAGTGAGGATCTCTCCTGGACAACCAACACCACATCACTGGCCAAGAAGTCCCAGCAGCGCCTCTACTTCCTCCACAAGCTGAAGAGAGCACGAGCCCCCCCCCATCCATCATGTGCTCCTTCTATAGAGGCACCATCGAGAGCATCCTGACCAGCTGCATCACTGTCTGGCTTGGGAGCTGCACTGCTGCCAACCGCAAGACCCTGCAGCGCACAGTGAAGGCTGCTGAACGGATTATCGGTGTCCCACTCCCCTCTCTTCTGGACCTCTACGGTACCCGCCTCACCCGCAAAGCAACCAGCATTGTGCGTGACCCCACCCACCCCTCACACAGCCTCTTCAGCCTCCTGCCATCGGGGAGACGGTACCGCAGCCTGCGGGCCGGCTCCACCAGACTGGGAAACAGCTTCTTCCACCAAGCTGTCAGGAAGCTTAACTCTCTCCCCTCTCTTCCTTCCCTCCCCTCTGCCCCCACGAACACTGGACGTTGAAACCTCCTCCCGTTTGCCACCAAGAACTCTGGACTAAAAACTCTGTACACTCAGTTTACTGCACATTGCACATACTGCACAAGTTCACTTTTTCTTTAAATTTTATTTTATTTTACTTAGTACCTTTTGCACAATTTAGAATTTATTACTGTAAATATTATTTATCTTATTTTTACCTCATTTTATTTATCTATTTTTACCTTAATTTGGTTGTATTGCACCACAGGATGGAGACAAACGAAATTTCGATTCCACTGTATGTCTGGCATATTTTGAAATTGACAATAAAGTTGACTTTGACTAAACAGAAAGTAAATGAGACCAGATCTTATGTTCCAGGATCCTTCAACTATACATTTGATTAAAATGTCTTCTTCCAGCAACCTGGGTTCCATTTTACAATCCTTTAATCAGCATTGATTTATTCACTGAACACTCATATCTCAGCATATAGTTTGGACCTACTTCATGTCAATGCTGTCATTGGATAACAAGCTGTTACAAAGTTGTATCTAAGTTCATCTTAACTTTTCCTTTCTAAACTTGTCATTTTATTTGACATGAATGATTCAGAAGAGCTGCACAATCAGCACACAGGAGCAGGGTCTGTTAGTTCATTTTGCCTTTAATAATAAAAAGAAAACTAAAATAAAAATCTCAAAATAAAAAATACATGGCAAAACAACAGACTCTTAGATGATTATGAGAATAATCATGGTCGCAATGATGATACAGTAGAAGTAATAATAGTCACCATAATAATAATAATAATAATAATAATAATAATCAGAAGCATAATAATCAGAACTCTATCTTTTCTGGTGTCGGTGCCACCAGCAGAAATCACTTTTTTATAGACATTAAGGTAAGCATCGCACAGGCCGGGGCGTGGCACTTGTCAAAACAATTTCACACTTAGCAAATTACCCCACATATGCACGACAAAATAAGGACAGAATCACAGCTCGTACGATTCACAGCACTGCTTGGAAACAAAATCAAAAGAAATCAAAGAGTTTCAAACATGCTCTGAGTTTGTTTCTTCTTCTTCCCTTCTGGGTGACGGAGCAAAGGACGAAGGGAGGGGAGTTTGGCAGTTTTTAGATAAAAAAAGAAAAAAAAAAAGTTTGAAGGTTTATGTGAAGTTTAAAAAACTTGACAAAAACACAACAAAAAAAAAAATGTCATAAAATGGCCAAGCATTAAAAAAAAAAAACATTCTTCTTCTTTGTCTCCTGAAATGAGCAAAAATAACAATAACGTCTGCAGTTCTGTGGGTTTGTTTCGTCCAATGAAAGTGCAGTGCTCACATGTCGTTTGAAATGTTGATCCGTGCATTTTTTTTTGTTTCTTAGGGGGAAAACCAACACAAAAGTTTTCAAAGAGAAAGATATGACTACTACGCCCGGAGCTCCTCTAAACCGTTTATGAGTTTTTATGCATGAAAACGGAGAAAAAGAGCGAGTAGAGGACAATGAAAAGGCGAGCTGATGAAGTCCTTCACATGTCTGAGGTCGGATGAAGAAAATGAAACGATGAAGAGGACGAGGAGGAGATGGTGGTGGTGATGATGTAGTGGATCTGATGGGAAACACTGGTGCTGTTCACTTTGTTTGAATCAACTCTCCTCTTTCTTTCTTTCTTATTGGCACTTTGTTCATCTTCAATTTGGTCGATTGTAGAATATGTGTTTTAGTTTGTCAGAAGGCGGAAATAAATTAATGAGATGAAACTTTGAGAACAAAGTCATCATTTTACAAGAAAAGCCCAATAATTCTAAAACAAAAAAAAGTTCTTGTCATACAAGAATAAACTTATAAATGTTTAAGTTTATATAATACTTAACCAAAGCATTGTCATGAAAAGAAAAGGCAGATTGAAAGACAGACTGACAATAGTCATATATCTTTAAAAGGGGGGGGGGGTTACTGTTGTAGGAAATATGAATCCGATTACTTTCTCAAGAAACAAATTCAAATTTTGAAGTAAGTTAGAGATCTGAAAACTAGAAAAGGTTTTTTTATTTTATGAGTGAAAGGTTGAAGATTTCAGGAATGGTTTTGAGGAATTTGATGAGGGAAATCATTTCACTTCTAGAACAGCATGGACCGTGCAACGTTGAGCACAAGAGAGGAAAAAGTCTTATCCTCTTAATACTCCTCGGAAATGTGCAAATAAAATGACAATTCATGAAAAAGCAATTGTTTTAGGTTTGAGTTTTGTTAAACTAGTAACTCGTTTGTAAAACTTGGCAGAATAGAAATGTAAACTGTAAATGAAGAAAAATAATTGTCACTAAAAGGCGAAAAACTAAAAACAAATAAGCAAATGATGAATGCTCCTGAAGTATACTCAATCTGGAGACATCTTTTTTTTTATTCATAATGCTCTTTGATGAAAGTCATTGTTTATTGAAATAAGATTTTAGAAAAACACTTTCATGGAATGAGTCGCTCTTTTGCATTTCAAGTGTTTAAAAATCTGAACAGAAATATTCTGAGATTGAAATCAAAATACCCTCTCTGCTTCTCCCACATCCAAACTGCTGAATCTTAAACTAAGCTTTCATACTTTTACATTTCATTAATTCTTTACCGCCTTCATTTTGAGGGATTTTTTTCCTTTCCTGCAATTGTCAAAAAGATCTGCGCTCCACCTTATAATTACATTAAGAATGTACTGAGATGGGAATAAAAACAGTGAACTGTCTTTTTAAAGTTCCAGTTTAGCCTTTATATAACTTAAAAGTATTTCCTGTTTCAAGTAACAAACTAAATCTAAGTTTTGTTCTCCAGTCACAAAAACACAAAAGAGTGATGATTGAAGGACTTTCTTATTGGCAACAGAGATGTAGAAGGCACGATGAAGTTTACAGAACAAAACGAGACTGAACTTAATGTGAAAAAAAAAAAAAAAAAACCTACATGTTTCTGTGCACATCATTTCAGAGTGTGTTTGGATGAATTAGTGGATGGTGAGATTTTAAACAGAGAGATGATTGATTAGGAACTAAAATACACACCAGTGTTCCCCGTGAACAGTCGACAGTTTGGAGGTTTAAACCTGCAGGAGGAGGAGTCACCCCCAGCTCAGTGAAAAGTAAAGAACTGACTCAGTTTCCAAAGAGAATTAAAAAAGTCTATTCTAGCTGTTGTTGACGTGTAAACTGAAACATGACGGGCTGAGGAGGAGACCTGACAGGTCACAGCCTCGCGCTCCAACACAGGTCTAAAGTTTGAGTTCATTAAAAACGATTCCAGCGTGATCAGTTTGTGCTCATGTTGTAAAGAATCTAAAGAAGATCATTTATTTGATATTTATGTTTCTACACAAGGGGTGTCATTTAAACACTTAAATTAAAGAAGAAGAGGTGACATCTTTACATTCTAACTGTGTGAAATAAAGTGTTCACCTCAGGCTGGTTGGGCTGACAAGTGAAAACAGGCGCGTATGAAAGAAACAAGTAAATGTGACCAATAAGGAATCAAAATGTAGAGCTGAGAGAGCCTGAGAAACAGCAGAGCGCAGAATGGAATACATTTTAAACCTGCTGCAACAACCAAAAGTGTGCGATTGGTGATATTTTGTAGACTTCTCTGTCAACATATCAAACGTTCAAACTGAGAACGTCTTGTGTTGAAAGTCTCAGTGCCGTACAATACAGCAGTTCAGTTTACACTCACACAATTCCACTAACTGTGAAAACTGTTTTAATGCATTTTGTTCCCTCGTTTGGTCATTACAGACGATATATGTTCGCTTTAAACTATGAACTACAGTAGGCAACGTTAAGCAGCCAGGTAGTTGCCAACATATTTGTGCAATTTACTCAGCGCTCTCTCTCTCTCTCTCTCTCTCTCTTCTGGTCTAAACTATGACTGAAGCTCTGCAGGCTTTAAGGCTTCAGCTCTTTCTGAGGGAGATTGTATGGTTTTAAAACACATCGTATCAAAAAGTAACTAAAATGTTGACAACCATAGCCTAAAAGGCAGATCCACATTTATTCCAGCTTCTGTCGCAAACAGCATCTTATTATTTGAACTCTTTTTTTTTTTTTTTATCCGGTTCAAAAGTTGGAAAAGTTTCAAACATTAAACTGAATAAATTGAGAAGGAGGTTTGTGTTTCCAGCAGGATCCGGTTTGCTAAACAGGAAGTATTAAGAGGTGGATTTTTATAGGTAGTTTCTTTTGTTTGGATGAAATGTGACGACTGATGTTTTTAAATTGACTTTAGAATGACAGAACGTGTTTTAAATCAATTTGAAAAACGAGATCAACGCTGGAAAAGTTCAGAAAAAGAGAGAATTGAATGCAGAACAGAGAAGCATGCAGCCGATAGACGTGACCGTTTAGAAACTGGACGACAGGGTTCAGAGTGATGAGAGCGGGTGATTGGATGCTGGTGAAATCAAGTCGCCTGTCTAAGAGTGTGTGTGTGTGTGTGTGTGTGTGTGTGTTGTTGGTTTGTGTGTCCTCCCCTCGCAGCCTGGATGTAAAAGCGTCGACAGTTTGTAATCAAAGGAAAAAGGGCGATCACCACTGAACACAGACCTGACAGCTCGTAGAAGATTATTTTTTCTATGTTTCAAATATATATTCTGTTTGTACAAGATGGTGAAACGGTCGACATTCAAAAAAAAACATTTCAAAATACTTCCTACGCTTCTTACACGTCTTTTTCTTTTTTTTTTCCTCTCTTATTTCTCTCAGCCGATCAGATTTTTCCTTCACTTGACGATTCCATCCACACGCCATCGTCCATCCAGCAGCTGCTCCACATTACGAGTTTTTCAGCGTTAAAAAAAAAAAGAAGAAAAAAAAAAAGAGAAGAGAAACAGACAGACGGATGGCGGCAAAAAAAATGGCGGCGGCATGACGAATGACTGAAGCAACAGAGGAAGAACACCACCGACGCCCCCACGAGGCCTCCGTCCAAACGTGCCCTCATCCACCCCCTCCACCGGGGAATGTAAGGTGAACAGTGTGTGTGTGTGTGTGTGTGTGTGGCGTTTGTGTGTGTGCGTGTGTGTGTGTGGTAGCTTCGAAGCGAGCGTATGAAGAGGCTGGCGAGCTCCTAGCAGTCCTCGTCTTTGTCGTCCACTGCGCCTTTGAGCCGCAGGCGGGCGAAGTCCTCGAAGACGAAGTCGTCGTCCTGGGAGATGCTGCTGAGAGGACGAAGAAACGATTTATTGACTTCAGAAAATACTAAAGCCTGAAAACAAATCGGCTCTCGACAAAACTCTCTGCTCCGTTTTTTTTCTCTCCAGCATTTATACAAATAAACATTTCTCCAAAGCACCAGACCTCCAGTAGAGTCAAATCTGTTTGTAGAGTTTCCCTCCTCACACAGAGACTGAGAAAGAAATATCTCTTATGTTAGGAGAGATAACATTTAAACTGGTTTAAACTAGTCAAAAACACTTCACGCACATATTCTTTAAATTAGAAGGGAACTGGTTTAAACTAGGACATGACTGATTTGGATTTTTTTGGGGCAGATGGCAATATTAGGGAGAGAAAAAATCTGATACCGATATATTAGCCGATATCTTTCTTAGATCAATTTAGATCTTTCGAAAGAGATGGACACAGATATGCAGACTTATTGCGTCGATCCCTCAAATACTGTAAAATATATAATGAAGACAAGATGGTCAGGCTACTGGAAAGTAACTGCATGTACGTGCATCACAGTTTGACCATGCCTGTTGTAATCCATATAGCACGCTCTGCTGGTGACAGAGAACTGCTCATACAAGGAAACTCAAATGAACTGCTTTTGACTGGTGAATAAATCTAGTGATATCGGCGCATATCTGCGATGAAAACAGCCGATACCGATAGTCACTGGATAATATCGGCCGATATTATCAGCTAACCGATTAATTGGTGGGGCTCTACTTTAAACTGGTTTTAAATTGATTAAGAGCTTGTGTTTTGTTCTGTTAAAAACAAGAATAAATGTCTCTTTCTCCAGAGAGGAGATATGTTCTTGTTTTCTGGTTTCAATCGTCTTTTTGACCACTTAAGATTCTTTTTATTTTGGTTTACCTTCATTTTCAAAACAGCAACTTTTATTGCTTAAAGTCAAAAATCTTTTTAGTTTACTTCGCCTCGTGGAGCCATTACGTTAAAGATTAGCATGACTTTGTTTTTAATATCCTGACATAATGATGCTTATTTATCGTGGAGCTTTGGGCTAAATGCTAAGCATGCTAACATACGCTCACAGTGACGATGCTTTAACGATGATCGTGCTGAGTAGATATATCGTTTTTCACGTTCACCAAATTAACCCAAGCTTGTTTGTCAATTTATTTCTCCAGAAATGCGGTCATAAACCAAACAAAAATAAATGCTGACCTGTACATTTTTAACAGAACCTGAAGAGAACAAGGTTTCGGAAGTGTGGCTTCAAATAAAAAATAAATCTGTCTTCTTAATAAACTGAATCAAGTCTTAAAACTCACTTTGTGTCGAATTCTATCAAATTGGTGTCGATGGGGGGGTCCATCTCTGGCACAGCTGTAACACACACAAACACGCATTACTATGTCATACTGGAGTTGCCATGGAAACTGAATTTTGTCTCCATGGAGATTTAGTGCTTGAAGAAGAAGGGACAAGAATGGAGAGTTACATAATGCAGCAGTGTTTGTGTGTGTGTGTGTGTGTGTGTGTGTGTGTGTCCTCTTGACTCTTTCATTAAATATGATATATAATTTAGATTAAGAGTGTCAGGTTCACATTATTAGAGTTATTAGAGTTGTGTGGACTCACCTGACTGTGGGCGGGACACGGGCGGCTCCACAGGTTTAGGATGCATTAAGATGAAGGGCAGCTCCACCGACACGTCTCTGAAACACAACACACACAAACACAGAATGTAAGTCCACTACACACACACAAAGTTTTCAGTTAGATGTGGCTGCTGTAACAATACAAGAGCAACTCATCACTTAAATGTGATTAAATGCACCTTTAAACGGGAGAACGTTCTTCAAACATTCATCATTTAAAACCTTTTTTTTTTTTTTTTATCTGCCTTATCCCGGTTTAAAATCTGATTAAACCCACTTAACTCTTACTTTCAAATGATATATTTGTAGTAGAAAACATGTCACTTTTTCAATTTTAATTAGCACTTTAATATAAAAATCAGAATGTTAAGGGACCGAAACGTTCTGATTTGTCTAATAAATTGATGATACTTAACTAGAGTAGTGTGCAGGATTTCTTTCTTTTCAGTTTGCCATCCTACTTTATGAGTTAGTTGGATGTGCGTTCACTTCCTCAGTTTAAACCAGCTCATCTCTGATTTACATCGGATGATAAATAGTTAAATTGATTTTAATAAAGACCAAAAAGGTTAAAAAATAAACATGATTAAAATATTTTCCAATATATTTGAATCTGTTTAAAATATGTTACAACCCAGTGACTAACAAGTTTTTTAAAAAACCTGTTCATAATTTGTGATCACAGTTTAACACCTTCTTCTAAACACGTAACTAAGTTGAAACTCAAAGGTAAAGCAATATAATGATGTTGTTTTAACAGGTTTAGAATAATCTAATTAAAAAGGAATCAGAGATAAACTGGCTTAAACCGGTTTTAGTCTTTTTGGTGTTTTTCCATGTTAAATAACTCTAAACCCACTTAAAGTTTTACAATAAATGTAACAGTTATTTATCAGATGTAGAAAAAGGTTGAAGAAATTCACAACTAGTTAAGCTTGTTTCATTTGTTTATGACCACTTGACACTAGTTTAAAACCACTTGAATCCAGTTTCACTCTGAAAGGTTAAAGGGACAGAAGATCTCTTTAATTTAAAGTGTTTGATTTCTTGTTTAAGTCGATTTCAAAGTATTTTTGGGGACATAAACAGAAACTGGCTTTTGTTTTTATGCATCATACGTGCAGTCAGTTCACACACATTTACCTCTCCATCACGCCTCTCAGCAGCCTGCAGGGGGAGAGGAGGGAGGGGGAGGCACACAGCGGAGGGGGAGGAGGAGGAGGAGGAGAGAGGGAGGAGCCACACAAAAAGCCAAAAAAACACAGAGTGGGAAGAGGTGAAATGAAAAGCAGGAGGCAACACGTTCACAACACGATCACAAACCTACAGTGGAAGCAAGCACAGTGAGGCGCAACTACTGAAACAAGCAGACGGTTTCCACGGTAACTGACACTGACAACAGGAAGTGAGAGGACGTAGCAGGAAGCTGAGGCGAAGACGCACCAACATGGAGTCACGATCAGGATTTATTGAACTTATAATGTAATAAAATTACAACGCAGCTCTTGTTTTCCTCTTTCCTGTACTGAGGTTACACCTTCAACCAACAATTATTTTAATGATTTCTTCATCTACTGAACATTTGATCAATACATTCATTGTTTTGTTCATTAAGTGTCAGACGATGTTAAACAGTTTGTTATAAATGTCCAGATTTTGGATTCATTTTGATGAAAAGCAACACAATTAAGACAAGGAAACTGCGACATCTACAGGACACAGATAGGCAACGAACAGGAAGTGATGTCATTAGTGTATGGAATGAAAATGTGTGTGTGTGTGTGTGTCTTACGCTCCACGTGAGACCACCAGCTTCACTTTGACTCTGTAGGACACCAGGATCCCCAGGACCTCCTTGTTGGTGACATCCTTCACTCTGAAACACAGAGTGACTTAGATTACGTGACTGCACATCTGTATAGCACACCTGTACAGTGTGTGTGTGTGTGTGTGCTTACATGGTTGAAGAGGCCAGGTTGGTGTCTTCATGTTTGAGTTTTCCATCGAGAGCGAGTCCTCTCTTCTCTCGGTTCTTGTCGAGCGTCGGGGTCAGAGTGTAGACCTTACAGAAGGTGGAACTGGACGACACCTGGTCACTATGGAGACCACACACTGCTGTCAATCAAACTGTTCAGATTAATCCCCGTATACCAGGTGTCAGTAGAAAGAAGTTTACCAGCTGCTCTGGTTTGAAGAGTAAACATCAACTTTAAACTGTTAAGCCATGTTACTGCTGGTTCAAACAGACATTTAAACCAGTTGGAGTCTCAAGCTCATCTCGATTAAACAGGTTTTTTTTAATTTACAAGTTTATGATTTGAAAACTGTTTAAAAAGCTCATCTCCAGTAGATATTAGAGAGAAGGAAACTATTGAAGCAGACTAAAACATGATGAAAACCTAAAAATGTGTTCAAGGTTCCACCAATCAGGGCATACGGGAGAGAAAAGTCTCAACCAATCAAAAACACAAATAAATCATCTCTTCAGGCCGGGTAAAGCTCATATTAACTTCAAACTGGTTTGACTGGGCTGCTGTTAACAGGGTTAAACTGGTTATTAAAAGCCACTTTAAGCTTCAAATGAAGTGGACCTGTTCTTTGAATCTGTGTATCTCTTGATGTTTATATAGAACTTACAAAACAGGAAACATTTTCTGAATGTGGGTTTGGAGAGGCTTTGACCTTAATCAAATCAGATACCCACTTTAAACTCACTCTGAACTATCACTTCTTTAAGCCCCTTTTTCGACCAGTTCAAACTGGTTTAAACCCAGTTTACCTCTAGTTTAAAGTAATTTATTGTTAGTTTGAACAGTTGTAAACCATTATTGTTGTTTAAAATCAGTTAAAACCAGTTTAAATAACTAAAACTAATTAATTAAAAAACTAATAATATAAAAATGTCTGTAGAATTCCTCATAAGCAGAGTTCTGTTGATCCATGATTTTAACCAATAAATATTGAACTAGGTTAAGACCTCCATGAAAACCACAGGTGGAGATTTTTCTACTGGGAGTTCTGGGAGACATTACACTGGGACTTACTCTGCCTCCTGTTGGGCCACTGGACATTTGTACTGGGCAGTGCTGAACAGGCAGATGTCTGCATACTGACGCACTGCAGACACAGAGACAAAATTAAAATTCAAGACATCTAACAACAGTATTTTTATTTTTTTTTTTAAATCAAAGAATCAAAAACAGAAATCATTCATCAGGTTTGAATCTAAATGAGAGAAAAAAAAAACACATTCAAACCAAAAATCCAGAGATTATACTGCCTGTCGCTGGTTGTGAAAATGATGAAAACAAACAGCAGGTGGAGCTAATACTCAAGATGTTTTCATCAAACCGTCTCAGAGTAAAAAAGAAAACAAAAAGGAGGAGAAAGAAAGAAGAAGCAGAAAGAGGAAGAAGAATTATTTACCTGAGATCTTGACTCTTTTGACCGTCTTGGTGGAGTTGTTGGTGACGTGAACGTTGACGCTGATGGGCTCTCCGTGATAATACAGCTACACGCAAAGCATCATGGGAGAGAAAAATATTTATTAGTGTTATTAAAACATGTTTTAAGGAGAATGTGTTCATTTCAAAGTACAGAGGTGATCATACAGCTATCCCTGTGTGTGTGTGTGTGTGTGTGTACCTCTTTGTCCAGAGACGCCTCCAGGTGTAGGGATCTGTCAGACATCAGGAAGTTTCGGGTCGTCTCCACCATGGGCTGAGGACCGGGTTTCTCTGGAGCGTACTGAACCTTCCTGATCACCAGACGCACTGAGTTTCTGAAAAACAAACGACACTTCATACACATTCCACATGTGGTGTGAAACCTCTTAACACCATATACATGTGTTTAAATCAGTCCATATCATTTTTTATAAACGGGTTTAAAATCCAATTCAGAACAGTTTAAACTCAAATCACTGAATTTCTTACTGGTTCAAATCAGTCAAACTCTAAAGTTTAGTCCAGTTTAAACCTGCTTAAACCACCTCATCTATATTTATATTCATACTGGCCCTCACTTATCAAACGTACGTACGGCTGAAAAATGGGTGTACGGTCATTTCCACGCAAAGTTCGGCACTTATCAATTTGGACGTGAGCGGAGGGTTACGCTCAAATCTCACGACAGGTCTCAGTTCGTGTACGCACGTTTTCAACTCAGTGTGCAGCGAATGTGTCTGTTGGAGAATCATATCGTACTATAACAGTGCTTGTTAAGATGGATAGATGGAGGTTCACAGATTTACTGTTAGATAAGATATCTAAAATGTATTTTATATTACGCTTCACCTCTAACGATCTCTGTAGGCTACATTGCTTTTTAAATAATGTTGAGCAGCGCGAGCTGTCAGGTGATGTGTGGAGCTGTGTTATATTTTATGTATTTTTTTTTTTACATTTTATGGTTTTTTTTACATTTTATGTTTGTTTAATCAATTTACTTTTTTTTTTTTTTTTTAAGATTAGAGAGGCTGCTTTCGGTAATTAGTACATGCTAAACATTCACGCTGCAGAAAATACTGAGACAAATTAAAACAGAAAAACTACAAACAGTTCATTTAAAAAGGACATAAAAACTTCCAGAGATACTAAATACAACTTTTAGCCACTGAAATATGAAATATTTAGGAATACAGAACATTAGCTCATAACTAATCGGTATGTCCGGAGATTAGAATAATAAATACGCTGATGTGCCACGTGCGTAATTGCGCACAGCAGACGCACATAGGCCAGACTACATGTGACATAATAACAAATAAAGAAATCCATGGGCTGTAAGACGGAGTCAGGACCTTCTTGTGTTAAATTCTTCTGTTTGGAAAGAAGGCTAATCGGATGAGAAGTGCACATTACACAGCGTTTGGTCAAACACTTCATTCATGTGATGCAGGACGTTACAGGTTTCTCTTCTCTTTTAAAGCCTCATTAATGGGGGCGCGCTGGTGGCGCAATGGTTAGGGCGCGCGTCCCATGTGTTGAGACTCTCGCCTCCACCCGTGGCCCCTTTCTGCATGCCATTCCCCGCTCTCTCTCCCTGGTTTCCGACTCTATCCACTGTCCTATCTCTGCATTAAAGGCACGAAAAGCCCAAAAAATAAATCTTTAAAGTCTCATTAATGGCGAGCACGGAGCCGATTTGTGCAGCCGACGTTATCCAACACAGATGCAGGTTCGCCTGCACCACTTGTGTCTGATATTGAGGCTGAACCGATGGCCACGGCTGGCGTCCTCCGGTCCGGGTGCTGCTTCTTTTAAGACCCGCTACACTAGGATACATTGTCGCGATCGTTTGGTCTGACCAGGTTTTTTTAATATCACATCATATCAACATATCACAGAGCTTTAATCCAACATTTCAGGCTGCCAGACAACACAATGTTATTCCTCTTTACTTCTCTCTGTTATGGTGTCACTCAGGTCATATCTCGTTTCTCTTCTTTTCCGTATTAAGTATCTCCAGCTGCGAGGACAGCTGAGCCGTGAATATATAGGGGCGTGGTATTTAAATGACGATCGTTTCCAGCGCCACACTTAGCATACGCATGACCGGGTGTTGATGTGATCAGCCAGATACGCACGTTTCATAGGTCCCACGTGGACCTTGTCGTGCGATGATCTCTACACCCATACCTGCGCTGGTTTGTACACCAGATTGTTAAGTGAGGGCCAATGAACCTGTTTTAAGTTTATTTAAACTCACTGAAAAACAGTTTTTCTCTGTTCTAAAGAACATTTGACTCAATTCACTAGGTTATAGGAAGATCATTTCATCAGTTTGTGATTCGAGTCTGACTGCTAAAACTGAAACAAGAACTAAGGTCACATCTGACAATTCACTTCCAAATCAGTTTTTCTGGTCGTTATTTTCTCTATTCATTTTTAGTTTATAAATGTCAAAAATAACAAACAAAAATGTATTAATGTCACACTCTAGTTTGGTTCCACTGTAAAAAAAAAAAAAAAAACAAAAACAAAACTTAATTTATTTAATTATTTTTTCAAATAGGACAATGAAAAACTACAAATCCTCGAACCTCAGAGGCCAAAAACTAAGAAATACAAGAAAAAAATGCCGAAAAAGTAAATAATCGCTCTGATCAGAACTACAAACCTTTGACAGGCTCAGGATATAACAAAGTTTAAAACCTCGTGATTTTTCAGATTGATTCATTACTTGTTTATTTAACAGGGACACATGCAGTAAACATTGCTTCACAAGTTAAATACAAAGTCAATGTCATGCATAAAAGTTTCAAGCCTTGGCTAATTTGAAACCCCTGTCCCTGGCTAGGCTTTTATGATTAAAACTGAATTATTAGACTAAACTGTTTTAGATTCAGATGTGTTCATGATGAAACTGTGTGTGAGTGTCATGTTTCAGACCCTCTGTGGTCTCATTCAAACACACACAAACCCTCTCAACAGGACTTCTGCAGGTGTGAACTCACCTCTTGTGAATCTTCTCTTCTATCGACTTGGCACAGAAAGCTCTGATCTCAAAGTCGACACCGCAGGCCTGCAGGGAGGGAAGGGGGGGGGAGAGAGAGAGAGCCTGAATCAGTCAACACAGCCTGACACTACAGATACTAATGCTTTAATCTTATTCAACTTAAAAACACACAAAGACTCAATCTCCTGTTTAAGTGTAGCTTGTGTGCATTTGTTACCTTCCCAGTGTCCTCTGGGCCGGGCTGTAAAGTGACTGAACAGGGGAGGTTCTGAGGAATCTGAAATCAAACACAGTTTGTTCATTCAACAGGTTTACCTTTACTCTTTATTCAGTCTTTGTTTTCTCTGTGATCAAAGATTGCGTCTTCAGTCTAACGGCTGAAAAAAAAAAAAACTAGTTCTGCATCATTATGTGGTCCTTTCTGGCCAAAAAGTCCCAGGGACTAAATGTAAGTATCACATAAGGAAAATCAGCTGTTTTCAGATACAGATAAAGTATCAGAGTCCACAGTTATAATATTAAATAGTTTTTGCCTCTAGATCAATGTTACATGTTATCAGACGTATCAACAGTATCAATGAACGAGTGGAAAATAACATAATACAGGTGAGCAGAAAAAGTATGAAGCAGCTTTAATATGTGCTTAAAGATTGAACCCCTAACTTAACCCCTGTGTGATGTAAACACATATACATACATATATATATATATATAAACATTAAAATATTCCACAAAAACACATTTTTGGTCATGAAACAAAAGATGTAAAAAAAACACAAAACATTTCATTAGCATAAAGTGAATGTTTATGCAGATGAACTTCACAGCTGTTCCCAGGTGCATTTAACTCCAGAAACTAAGAAATATTCAGGAGTTTTATGCATGTGTGAAAATAGCCTTAAGACCTTTTTAGAGTTCCATGTTTTAGTTATTTTGTCTGAAGAAACATAAAACAACGGTATCGTTTATTTCACAAAACTACATACCGGTAGATGTCATACTGTATGTATTTTGTTTTTTTATGCGGCTGTTCTTTGAGTATTAAATGACTCAATGATTACACTAAAGAAAAGGGAAACAGAAAAAGAAATGCCTCTCTCAAAGTCCAAAACCTTCTTTAAACCCAGAGGAAACTAGCTGCACGTAAAGTTACATTTCTCTTCTCCCTCTCTCGGCCGCTCAGTGCCTCGTTAACTACAGTCACTTCCTGTTTCCTGTAATCAGAACTGTTGTAGTTCCTGAGTTTGTCCAAAATCTGGGAAAGTTCCTGCAGTGGAGACACCCTGCATAAACTCTCAAATGTTTTCACATCAAACAAGAAGTAAATACAAGTTTGTTTCTCTCTATCTGATATATTCCTCTGTTTGTAACCTGTTGTCTTGCCTTGTTGGAGAGCTGACTACAATCAATAAACATCAGAAAAACATGCGTCTTTCATCCCAATACTGAAACTTAAGTCCTCCCATTCTGTTTCATGCTTGCACCAGGCTGCACACACCAGCTGCAGCACACAGAGACACACAGGGACTATTTCAGGACAGGGAGATAATAGTTCATCTTGGTTGTGATGTGAGAAATGCTAGGTAAAGTTCCTGTGAAGAAATGAGACATGCAGACTCACAGTGAAGTAAAAAGGGTGCGCATGTTGGCCCAGTTTCTTCAGCAGCCTCTCCTGCAACCTGCTGTTGGGTTTACGCTCCTCAGGAACCGGAGGGAACGCCTGAGAGAAAGACAGAGAGGAGGAGATGAGAGGCTGATATTTATCTTGTTCTAAAGCTGAGCAGCATCCTCAGGTGGATTCAAGTCAGACGAGGACTGGATTCTGACCTGGAAGGTGGAGATGTAGAGGTCCTTCCTGAAGGACAGACCGAGCACGTCCAGGTCCTCACGGCCGTAACGAAATGCACAGGTGAGAGTGACAAAGACTACAGGAGGAGGAGGAGGAGGAGGAGAGACATTTGGTCCAGATGTTGTTTATTCAAACTCACAGGTTGGCAGATTCTGACATTTCATTTGGCTTCTCATAAAGATGTAAAAGTGAGGTTTATGTCTATTACAGGCAGACGGATGCAGAGGAGGAGACACTGACTTAATTCCACAAATACAGCTCAACATTTCAGAGTCTTGTCAATGTATTAGTGCTGTAGAAATTTGCTGTAGAGATTTTTTTTTTTTTTTTGGACCAGATCCTGAAGTTAAGCATCTATCAGAGCCCGTCCCTGGACCTCACACTGACTTTTAAAAACACTTTCATGTAGATGAGGTAGCTGCCCTACCTTTTCTGTCCTTCAGATACTCGGGGTCGACGAGGATCACTCCATCTGTCAGCAAGAAGGAAGAGAAACAGCCGAGTCATCAAAAAAAACAAAAAAACAAACCCAGAGTCCAGAGAGTCCAGAGATCTGCTTCTACTGCTCGTTGTACTATTATTTCTGCTCTGTTTCTGTACAAACCTGAACGTAGTTGTTTCAAACATCAATTAATGCATAATTCATTTAAATGTCCTTTCACTTAATCTTAACAAATAACTACCTGAACTTGACAGATGACTATACTTTTATGTACAATGAAACTTATGAAATGCAACAAAATCTGCAGAATATTTCTTTCATTAATAATTATGACACTCGTCGTTGCAGGACTTTAAGAAAGGGTTTTAAATGTTTCCTTTATCAGCAAAAAGCATTCAATCAAATAAACCTCTTAAGTAAACCAAACGCTTTAAATGTAGAAACATGTAGATGTTCTGACTCACCCACAGGGTCCACATGGTCCAGGTGATCCACAAAGTCTCTCTTTCCAAGATAAACTGTCACCTGCAAAAAACAATCCCAGCGCCCGGTTCAGTTATCTGCTCTCTTTGTCTCTCTTGTCCTCTCGCTCCAGCACCGTCAGAGTATAATACACCTTTTTATTTTACATTCAGCGCTGTCACGTCTAAAAAGCTTTGATATGTCGATGTGTGGTAGAATGATCACATAAGAAAAAACACTGATAATAAACGGATAAAAACTTAGTTTTAACTTGTTTCTAACTGCAGTAAAATAATAAAAAGGTGAAGTATGTTACAATCTGGCTGATGTAGAATTCTTTCTGTGAGGTAAGAAAAGAGCTGAGATGAAGAAGTAAACTTCTGTGTCTGTCATGTTCATCATCAGACTCCATGTGAATTACACTTTAAATCTGATAAAAGTTCAATTTGACAAACCACAACTGTATTATTTACATGAAATAATGTTCCTTTTACAAAATAAATAGAAAATGTTTTTTGTTTTTTTTGCCAAATTGATCCACAAAAAGTCACCATAATACAGAATAGTATAAAGAATTACAGTGTAAGGAGGGAGGACCCCTGGACCCCCCCAGGCTTAATTCTTTTTACCATCTTTGCTCTAATTGTTGAAATGAACACATGAGCTTTTTAATCACATTTTAAACAGGGCACATTCATTTGTAAAATAGATAAGGTTTTAATCATTAATTAGCCTTCCTACACAATTATTAGAATGGTTTAAGTTGCTTGTAAAAGTGCTGAGTCAGTGTTCATATTTGTTACATCTGCACATGAACAAGGGAGGAAAGGAGCTGCCACTCCGACCTCATTATTAACCAGGATCAATCCCTGTTGTAGAGTCGATAAAGTTCATCTGTTTGTTTCTCTATTACTACTATAGACATCAATTAAAATGTATCAATAGAAGTAGATGTCTAAAATGAGGGTAACTGGTATTGATTGGTGCCATTTGTAAAAAAATACAAAACAAAACAGCTTTAGTACACTGTGATGTAAAAATGACTAACAACAGTTTTGTGCTTAGAGAGTTTAATGTTAGTCAGAGTTATCAACACTACGCTAAAGCTACGTTACTAAATCAGTTAAATGCTTTTAGAATATTTCAATAAATAACAAATATACATTTTTATATTTATACGAGTTTATAAAACACAAAACAGCAGCTCAATGTAGTTGGGGACTATTTCAGCGGCAGATCATTAGATAGTTGGTGCTGTAGTGTTTATAGCAGCAGGTCAGTTCTTATAGAATTGTATTCATCTTTTCTGAACTCATTCTGGTAGAATTATTCTCTCTTTGTATTATCACGTCTATTCTGATTATATTTGAGCCCAAACAGGTTTTTATATTGAAACATTTCAACAGCAGAGCGAGCAGTACTTCCCCCCCTGTGTGTAAGAGTGTGTAAACAAACGGGCTGACTCACCTTACAGTTGGGGCTCGACTTCTTGAAAACTCTGAGAGGTTTGAAAAGAGGAAGAAAAAGAGGGGAAGACAAAAGAAGAAGAAAAAGCAACATATGAGTTTATCCATTTCATTTGTGGGTTGAATGTGTCTCCATAAACAAAGAAGTGAAGAGATGTACCGTATTTAAAAAAAGGGAAACATCTCAGTGAGTAATCATGAATGTTCTGTGTAAATAATCAGAGGAAATATCAGAAGTTCAAACACACGCTGTTTATTTCACCACAGCAGGAAGCCGAGGAGGAAGTGCTTATAGAGACATCGAGTGGGGGTTATTATGGGATGTCACCACAGAGCTTTAAAGCAACAATATATAATAATCCATGTATACTAGATAACACCTTGAAAAGACACTGGACAATAGTTTGGGGATGTTTTTTAGACAGTTGGCAGATTTAACTTTACTCAACAATGGAAATGCTCTGGCTGGTGAACTGTATCGTGCAGAAGCACGTCCATGCCGGGCCTAAGGAAGTGTTCTGCGCTGAAGACTTGAGAAAACTCACACTAGTCAAACAAGCTGGACTTTTGAGGGTGAAGTGCTCTTGGGCACGGTACGACTGGTTAATGTGAGTGCGCCTTTAATGAGCTTTTCCAGGTAACTTTTGACTTTGAGAGCGGATGTACCAGCTGTATGAGGGGCGGCATTGAGGCCATGCATCATTTCCTTGAACCTGTTCAACATGTACCAGTAGAGCTCATCATCATTACAAAGTTCATATTACAATTGGACTACTTTATATTTTTTCATGATTTCCCCTTTTGCACACAGCTATTTCTGGAATCCAGTTCCTCTTTAATCCCTTTAGAAAAAGATGTTTTTCTTCAATAGCTGACAAAATTGTATTTGTAATTCAAACTGGATTTATCGCCCAATCCTAGACACTAAAAGACACAGAAACCATGGCTCAGTCGCCTCCTTTAAAGTCATTGGAATAAAGAGGGTTCCTCCTACATAGCTATCATGTGACGTTACACGCTCCCATCCAGCTGAACGCTATGGAGGAGTTGCTGGTCTCAGTTGTCCTCTATGTGTTTTTATCAGTTACATTTTTAATTTTTCAACCTCACCTTCCCCTTGAAGTAGGAAAATAGTTCTGTGTCATGATAATTGTCATTCTAAGCATGTTGTGGTATTTAAAACTATCTGCATCGATACATGTATTTGCAAGGAGTGCATGACGACATATTGCCATATCGATTTTTTTTGGAGCAAAGCAACTAGGAGACATAAATGTATGGAGACTAATCAGCACTCCGGCTGCTGATTGGATTCAGTGCAGCTGCAGCCTTGTTAAAAAAAACACCTGTGCATCGCCATAGCAACCCTGACGAAGCCGAGGGTGAAACTTTTAATGACTGATGGTATCCAAGGAGGAGCGAAACATTAAATAACCCTGCATACTGTCTTCACTTGAAGTTTCAATGTGTTTGACTACTTCCACAGTGTGTCGGGGTCTGCCTCCCCCTTTTGATCATTGAAAATAACTAATTATTTAATATTGTGTGTCTAGGACTTCTGTTTCCGTTGCCATGGTATCAAAACATATCAATATAGTCTGATTTGAACTAGTGTCATATAAAAGTTAAAAATTCTGGTATCAAAACAATCCAAAATTGAAGTGTTTTTAGCAGCCTTTGTGCTTCATTAGAGAAGAATCAGTTTCACAGCACTGGTGTGATACGGTCACCATCTCCAACGACCACAACCATGAACAGGAAGTGACACACACACGGTTTCCTCTCCTCAGTACATCTCTGGCCTGAAGCTCAAGTTATTGATCAGCTGGGAGGATCAGGAGAAACTCTGCAAGCACCAACACACTCTGAAACTTTGTGCTGCTCCCTTCCAGCTGATGACCGCTTCCTGTCCACACCCCCACAGTTATATTTAGATCACTTCAAAGCTTACATTTAAAACTGATATACGGCTTTTCTGTGGCTCTGGTTTTGGCCGTTTATCACTGGTGCTGTTTTCAGCTGCAGCTAAATAATGAGCTGACGGAGTTCAGAGAGACGTCGCTCAGCTCTGACTTTGAAGAAAATAATCAGCCATTCAACAAGAATAAAAATAAATCAGTGGTAAGTCTGAATGAAAACTCCAGACAGCAGCAAGAAAGTCTGAATCAGATCAGCAGAAAAGCAGCAAATCTTCAGACTGGAAATGTTTGAACAAAAGAAGAACTGGCCTCAAAACAAGACTTCCAAGGTTAGAGCTGCTTTTAGATAATACCCGTTTTCATTTATATCAGACAAAGTCAATGTATTCATCCATGAAAACTTAAAGTTGAAATCATTCATCTGTCCAATTCTTACCTTATTTTATTATTCATTTATAATTCGAGCAAAAATGCTGACGTTTCACCCGTTCAGCTTCTGAAATGTAAATACTTGCTTGTTTTCTGACCTTAATATTGTTAAATTGTTGATTGGACAAAGCAGTCATCATTTCTGACATGTAGGTGAGCTGCAGCTAAGGCTGGAGACATTAGTGTCCTCGACATCCTCTGATTGGTTAGTTTGAGCTTTCTGCCCTAAGCCAGGAGATACTGATTACCTAAACCAAAGTCCAACAGGTTGAAACATTATTTATAACTCACTTCATCAGGCTACTGAACTCTAATGATTGGTCTTGATGACAGATCTTGATGGTTTTATACATTCTCAGTTTACCTGTCGTTACCTGATGAACTCTCATTTATGTAGAAAACATTGTTCACAGTGTATGTTGTGTCTATGTGTCTGTGTTTCTATATATTTGATGTGGAACCAGTTTTCAGTTGAGGCTTTCAGCATCACTCTCAAATATCCGACTGCTGCTGGACTCAGGTCTGAAAACGCTGCTGAATATTCCTCACGTTTCTCTATTTTCCGTCAGAAATCGGAGCTCGTTTTGAGCAAGATGATCTCTGGAGACTGATCCTCAGACTGTTTGACGTTTAACAGTTAATCAGGAGGATTGTGACCTGTGAACAAAATGCTCTGTGTACTATAAGTTACTGAATCCTAGCAACAACGAAAAAAAAACATTAATCTCTGGAAGTTTGAATATTCATGTTAAAATAGGCAGCATGTGCAAGCTTAGGAGCAGCTCACCTCTTTGTGTTTGTTAATACTAGTTGTTGGCAATGACTCTTTTCAATCCTGACAGAAAATAGAAACTATTGTTATGATTGACATCTTTCCATACATAAAGCTCTGAGTGCAGTCAGTTTAAATATCTGCTGAACTCTTCGACTGCGTTTGAATTTTTAAAATCCCTTTAACGCAGAAACGGTTAAAATCCTTCTACGTTTCACACATTTCTTTTTTTCAAATAAAATAAAAGGTGCAGCACTTGAATTGATTCTTGGAGTTTTCTGTTTTAAATGTCAGAAATAATCCTCCAACAGGATGCAAATGTGACAAGCAAAGTCTGAACTGACCAAGTGTTTGCATAATGTCTCCATTGCTCTGTTGGGAAACAGGAAACCTTAAACTGGTCGAACTAGTTCCTTTAGCTCTGAGCTGTGAAGAGAAATATGAAGGCAATTCTCTTTCCCTCAAGTTTCGTCCTGAGCTGTGAGAAACAAAACGACTACATCGGTATAAAAATATCCGTCTGCAAACCGTGGGAGCAGACGCAAGACTGTAATTAAGTTAAACTGTACGCAGTGAACGGTCATGTCACCAGAATTCAAACTTCAACACCATTCAAGTAAAAAAAATCAAACAATACCAAAAACTTTATGCTTGATTGTAAAATCCTCATTTACAAATAAAGTTATATAATAAAGTGAATTCACAAGAAACGCTCAGGAGTCATTCCATTTTTGTCAATAGAGGGTGGTCAAACTTTGTTTTTATTCTTTCAAAATTGTAAAATAAAATGAGATCATTAAGAGATACTTCAATATTAAAATGTAGTTAATATGTTTTTAAATTAGTTACAGCTCTGTGTGCAACTGAAAATGTAACCTACAGATGATTTAGCAGCACGCAAACTTGAGAGACGGCTCCTAAAGGACTGTATTTAAAATCAGGTGTTTGATTCTCTGTGTGTGTGTGTGTGTGTGTGTGTGTGTGTGTGTGTGTGTGTGTGTGTGTGTGTGTGTGTGTGTGTGTGTGTGTGTGTGTGTGTGTGTGTGTGTGTGTGTGTGTGTGTGTGTGTGTGTCATGTGAGGCAGAATCGTCCGACGGGGGAAAACTCTGGACTAGAAAACAGCCGGTTGCTGTAAACACTTTTCACGCTCGACTGGCTGCTTCCTAAACTTTCCAGGCGGGTACACAAATCATAGCAGCGAGCGGCGAGCGGCGAGCCTCTGATCCACCTGCAGTAAGCTGGTCTGCAGGGATGCTGCAGGTAAACAGACCGTGGAAAGTCCCGCCCTACTGTGACATGGATCGTTCACCTGCACCTGAACCAACGTCAGTTTCACGGCTCTGTGTCCGGCTGTTGTTGTTGTTGTTTTTTCATCCAACAGATGATTTAAATTGTTTGGGGTTTTAGTGGTGACTTTATTGTCCCATAAAAGAGAAAAAAACAGTTTAAAAATGTTCCAGCTGCTGCAGAATTACAAGACCTTAGACTGTTTGTATGAAAATAGCATCTTTAAAAGACACATTAACGTTGTTACAGACCGAAGAATAAAGATTATATATATCTCATTCAACAGAAATGTCTTCGAGGACTGTTTTTATATGCAACTTTTTTTTTTCTTTTTCTAGTTTAGAGAAGCAAACGCTCTGAAAAGGTTATATAATGTGGAAAGGTTTTTACAGAGACTTAAACTTTAGTGCACATATTATTTTCTATTAGATATATTATCATTAACTGCAGCTGTAAAGGAATCTGTCTCCTTTTTGTCAGTTAATTATTAACATGTTACTCAAGCTTTGTAGTTACTCCCTGCTGTAAAAGATATCTGACTCTCATTCAGTGTTTTTAGAACCTGTTTCTTTAAGACTCACATTGTGTTTTTTGACAGTTCCATTTGACATGGATTCCCTCCTC